CTATTTAGCTCACAGCCTGGCGAAAGATTTCACGGAGTTAGCAATAGTATTCTTGATGATAAGAACAAAACTATTTCGTTTCGAATCAATTCTCATGAAGCGGCTCATGAGAACAATGGAGTAGCTGGAGCTGTTCCAAGAATTCATAGTAGTTTTCTTGAAGGTATGAAAACGTTCAACAAATCATGGGGACAGAGCATGATCTCCTCCAATCCAAATTCTTCGACCGCGACAAGACCACAAGCTCAAACTGTTACTGCATTAAGTTCTTATCAAAGGGAAAATGCTCAAGCGGGAGAACGATCGGAGAATGTTTTGAAAAGGAAAAGATTATTATTGTTTGATGATTGCAATAAGTCGGACCAAGATTTGGATCTAAGCTTGTCCCTCAAGGTACCTCGGACACACGACAACTTAGGAGGATGCTTATTAGAAAATGAAGACAAACCTGATGATCATCAAGGTTGCAATGGTTTGTCTCTTTCATTATCTTCGTCAAGTTTATCAACAATGGGTGGAACCATTAGGAAAGAAGATCAAGATGATTATAAAAAGAGGAAGATTTCGGTCTTGGCAAGTCCCCTTGATCTCACTTTGTGAATATATATTACAACTTATATATATACCTATATTCTAAGTGAGATCTTGAGGTACTTGTTGATGGAAAACGGTTCTCTACTGTTTATCATTCGTTGCATACTTGTGACAAGACCCATAATTAAGGTAATAATAGAGACATTTTTAAACGTTTTTGGCCCTTTTTCTACATAATTTTGTCGAAATGTTAAATGCATATTTAAATATTGTGAGCAGATATTTGTTTCTTCTGAATAGTAACCAAGAAATAGATTAGAGAGTCTATATGGTTTTGAGAGTTACAAGACATTGCACGTTATCTTGGTTGTGTCTTGTTGTGAGACGTTGTGTCTTGTGTGTAGTTACCGTTTTCACTGACTCTCACACAACAAGCATCCTAAGCCAATATTTTGTTCCCTAGTTAATATGGAGATATCGTATGAAAATCTCTACATAAAACGTGAAATCAGTGAAGCTAATTAGACTCAAAACATCCAATGTTACGGAAGACTTCCCAAGTAAAAAAAAACTTCTGTATAGCAATAGATTGGACACATTAAATCCAAAACTATATATAGAAGATTTGATACATAAAACTCTATCTTCATCCTCTTATTTCTTTTTTATTAACCCAAAATGGTATGAAAAAATAGTAACTAGCTAAATATCACCCAAGCGATCTAAAGATATTAATGAGGTTTATATATATGAGTGCTATAGAGAGTTGGAGGGGTTTATCGGGTTATCATGCACGAATTCAAATTCTCTCCACACAAATAGTCACAGCATCATGTGTCTCAATCGTCCATGCTCTACTGGCTATATAGAACATGAGGGGGGAAAATGTCAATGTTACAACAAAAGTTAAAATTACTTATAAATGAGTCCATTTTTTTTTGTCACTTATAAATGGAGTCCATTTAAGTAAAAACTTGTCAATTTTTCTTTCTACTTCTCTTTCGTACCATTCTTTTAACATATGTTTTTCAAAATACCGCTCTTTTAATATTACAACGAAAGTTCTTTACAATTTTGTCCTTTTCTCATAAGACTTTCTTTAAGAGAAAACTGGAGAGAAAGACAAGAAGACAGATGTACTTGACATAGAGATGTGTCTTGAATCTTGATCTCCTCGATAGACAACAAAATAATTTGTTATTCGCATATATTCGTTTTTTTATCATCTCGGGCCTAGAATAAGATTTGGCTATATCACATTCTATATTTGAGAATATTTACATATTTCTCAGAGAATCAAAACTATTGAAGTTTTTTGTTGTTTTGTGTCTACTTACATGTGCCTTTTTGTATCATTCTTCCCAATTCGATCTTTAATAATTTGAGCAAATATATATATTCCATGTTGTTAAGTCAAACAACCATATTTGTAATAGTTCACTTTATTCCGTAGAACTTGTATTATGATTTTTTTCTTTTTGCTTCATTGATTTTAGATATTGCATTGAGTTACATCCATATGTTTCAGAAGCCAATTTGTTGGCAATGAAAAATTAGAATGCAATATATCCGACTAATGGAACTTAATTTTTGTTATTACAATCCCACGAAATGATTGAATACGTAATGAAAGTTTCTTACAAACAAATTACGGTCCGCGACACAGCTTAATTTAAGAATAATTGGGGCACCAGTAAAATTTTTTCTTAAGTGCAAATTACAAGTTCAAATTAGAGGTAACAAATTTCGTAAGCCGTAACTAGCAATGACAGAGTAAGCCTTTTGTGAAGGATGCACAGAATCAAAGAACAAATACTTCGAAACATCCTCACATGTCCGAGACCATGGCTTGCATAGAGGTCCTGCCTCAAGCAACCCCGTTCCGCAACATCCTTTAAATGTTTCTTCTAATCCTGCATAAATGAATCTTCAAATCGTAAATTATTGGATTCTAGAAGCTTATGTGAACTCAACCATTAGTATGATATTTCTTTCGTTTTAAGTCAAACCCGCACGGTTCTGTTATTTATTTTTTAACTGCGCCAAAAAACTCATACTAATTTGAGTTATGTAATAGTTATATGCAAGACAATCATTTGTCTAATCTTTCGATGTTAGACTTGGATGGATATCCCAACAGTAACTATGCCACCATTAACAAATTTGTGCATGAAAAAAGTTAGTTACCATATTTATGAGGCTGTTTGATCATGTCCATTAAGGGAGAGTAGATGTCGAGGTAAAGAACTTTGGAGCCTCGAAGCCTCTTACTGAGACGGAGGTTTAGCTTCTGTAACTTTTGATTGTAAAGCCTAGAATCAGCATTCTGATTTTCCGTACAAATCCGATGATGAAAGATGCGAGGGAGAGGGAAAGAAGTCAAGCCACCAAGAGTTACTTGCACCGGAAGGCATCCTATTGGTGGTAGTCCAGCTACTGTAATCCTTCGTGCTCCAGCGTCGTGTAGTCTCTGTAAGCATTTGCAAGATTAAATATACATTAAAGATTAGATGTTGTAATTGACGTCTTGTTTGAGACTAAACAAAAAATGAAACTTGTATATATCACACTACTGATACAATATAATTCGGAGTGAATTTGGTCAGTCACCATATTTTGGGCCTGAAAAATCAACACCAAGGAACGATAAAACTGGGCCAACGAAACAATTTAATGTAGCTAGGATACAAGGAGAATCTCGAAATGGAAACAATAGTATTGAAAACGTTTTAGAATAGTTATCTAAAGCAGTAATAAGTCTCATCTAACTTTTAGACTAGTAAATGCGTATAGGTCTTACTCTAGTGAATTAAATAGGTGGGATCTATGTACGTATAAAATTGATTTTTTTTTGTTCGATTGATAATGGCTGTAGCTTTATTTTGGTTTTACTGTAGAATTTAGGTTGTAGATTTTTTTGCTGTAACCGTAAGATTTTAGCTGTGGTTATTAGAAATAAAAGCATGATTGGTAAATTTATATATTTAGTTAATTTATCTTTTAGGTGTGAGAAAAAAAAATGATATTACGTTTACGAAAAAAAAATTAAATTAACTAATAATTGTAATTTAAAATAATTAATAAC